ATTAGGCAAGGAAAGAAGAGAGGGACGGAGATGACGGGAAGGGAAAGGAACGAATACAGAGAGCTTGGTATGTGCTGGGAAGACCTACCTGCCTGAGTCAGTTTCATTCTCTCCACACTGGCAGGGACCTGTATTCCCATTTTGCAGGTTAGGCAATCAAGGCCAGAGAGGTCAAGCAACTTAGCCCAGGACACACAGCTGCTAACTATCAGGTTAGGATGGCAAGATTCAGCAAGTAAAAATACAGGACCCCCAGTTAGATTCGAATTCCAGATAAACAATTTAAAAAGCTTAGTGTAAATATGTTCCATGTAAAATTGTAGACTTACACTGAAAATTTAACTGAGCGTCGTGTATTTTAGCTGACGACCATCTCTGAGGTTCAAACTTAGTTCTTTCCATTAGTCCTCAGACACCCCTTGACTATGGGACATGTATCACACTGTAGAATATGGTTCGTGGTCATCACCAGCCGGTATGGGTTGGGTGAGGCCCCAGGCTTGGCAGCTGTTATTTCGCTTGAAGCCCTGTCACCCTCACACCACCCCAGCCAGTAGGTATGATTGTTATTCCCATTTTACCGATGGGGAAACTGAGTCTCAGTGAGATGAAATAAATTGACCATGCTCACAGAGCCAGACAGTAGCAGTGCTCAGGTGTGAACCCAGCTCTGCTTTGCTCAAGGATTGCTGCTAAAAACAGCTTTTTCAAGAGTTAAGTTTTAACACATGTACAGAAAAGCGTTCGATACGTAAATGTAGGATTCAATGACTTTTCACAAACAGCTGTGAGCTACCAACCAGCTCAAGAAAGAAAAGCTGTCCAGCACTCCGGAAGCTTGCGTGCGTGCTCCCTCCCAATCATAATCTCATCCTCCTCAGAGGTACCACCATTCTGGCTTCTAACCCTGGAGTCGAGTTTTGCCTGCCTTCCAACATGATGGAAGTGAAATCACACAGAGGGTACTTTTTGGTGTCTAGTTTCTATCACTCAACAGTATGCTTGTCCGATTCACCCCGTGGTTGTGCATAGCTGGAATTTGGTCGTTTTCATTGTCATATAGTATTCCATCATAGGAACATACACAGTTAGCCCACTCTGTTGTTGGCGAACATTTCGGTGGTTTGGAGTTATTTGAAAATTTGCTATTATAAGCCCCCAAAATTGCTTCTGGGAGCATTCTTGGACATATCTTTTGGTGCGCATAAGCATTCATTTCTGTTGGATGCATACGTAGGAGCAGAAATGCTGCTTATAGGGAGGGTGTATACCCAGCTTTAGTAGATAATGCCACACAGGTTCTCCAAGCGTTTGTACCAATTTACACTCCTCCCAGCAGCATCTTCAATTTCTACGTGCTCCACATTCTCACTAGCACTTGGGATGGTCAGTCTTCACAATCCTGGTACAGGGGTATCTCCCTGCAGTTTTCACAGGCGTGCCCTGGATTTCTAATTAGATGGAGCACCACTTAATGAGTGTACCGGCTCTCTGAGCATCCTCTTTTGTGAAAGGTCTGTCCCCGTTTCTTGCCCATTTGATTGGGCTGTCTGCCTTTAACTTGTTGATTTGTACAAGTTGTTTGTAAATTCTCCTGGGAATCCGTAGTTGGTGATGTGTTTGGAAAATATCTGCTCGCACTCTGTGGCTTTTGACTCTCTTCTTGGTGTCTTTGAATGAAGAGAAGTTCTTATGGTTTCAGTGAAATGAAACATATCAGTGCTTTCCTTTATGGATAGTGACTTTTGGCTTGTTTAAGAAACCTTCCTCTACCCTAAGGTTATGAGGATTATCTCCACTATTGGCTTCTAGAATCTTCATTGATTTGTCTCGCACATTTAGATCTGCACCCAGCCAGGGGCGATTTGTGTGTGTGGTGTGAGGTAGGGGGACGGGAAACCTCCATATTGTAAAGATAGCGAGTCTCCCCAGATCCATCTGTAGACTCAGTGCCATTCCAACCCAAACCCAATTGGTCTTTTATTGTTGTATGAGGGACCTGAAAAGGGATTCTAAAATTTATATGTGAATGCCTAAGGCCAAGAATAGCTACGAGAACCTTGCAGGAGGAAAAAAAAAAAGTCAAGAACATCTTTTACTGATATCAAGACTTATATAAAGCTAAAGTAACTCAGACTATGTGACATGGGCACAAAGAAACAAACTGACCTCTGGACCCATGAGGAGGGCTGAGGCAGCCCCCACACACACGGGGACAGATACTTTATGACAAAGGTGGCCCCAAAGAGCAGTGGGGGAAAGAGGGTTCTTTCAAAAAGTTACAATGGGTCAATTGGACACCCATATGGGGAAAAACAAACTTGTCTTCAGAGCTCCCACTTTGACCCACTACACGACGCCATGATGCTGTTCATAGAGGCTCATATGATGGTGCCAGTAATGACCGTAACACCTTTATGTTTTTACAGATTTTGCCACTTTTGAGGTGTTTTCCAATCTATCATTTCCCTAACAACCCTAACAACCAGGCAGGGGAGACATTAGTCCTTTCACAGAGGATGAGCAGAGACTTGAAGGGCCAAGTGACCGACCCAAGGACACTTGCCTAGCACTAGAGCCTCATCTGGTGATTCCAAGCCTGGGGCTCCTTCCCCATCATGAGCAGCCCCATTCGAATACCCAAGGGGGACCAGGGAGGGGCAGGGGAAGTGGGCTACGGTGGAGGCGGACTGGGTCGTGGCTGGAGGTCAAGAGCACCCTCCTGGACCCCCTCCCCCAACCTGTGCTTGGCTCCTTGGACAGGTGTCAGTGCCCAGATCTCTGCCCAAAGGAGGTTTGTCCCCAGGGCGGAAGAAGAGGGTTATGAGTTGTGGTGGGAAGAAGAGGGCATGGAAAAGGCACAGCGTCTACCATTTGGCACAGTGCTGGGGGCCGAGCAGGGCGCAGAAGAGCTGGGGTCTAATCCAAGCTCTGCCATGAACTTGCTGTGTGCCCTTGGACAAACAACTTCATCTCTCTGGGCTTCAAGTTTCCTCATCTTTAAATGGACTAATTCCCATACCCGTCACCTAAGTGATTGTAGAGAATTAATGGGAATTGTGCTTGTCACTTAGTGAGGACACAACAATTGGTAGCAATCGATATTATTCAGATCACTTCTCGCTAATACAAGGCAACAGCGGCCATTAATTGAGCACTTACTTGTCTGTATCTCACCTAATCCTCACGACGACTCCAAGAAGTCGGTGTTACTTACACCCCCAGGTTGTAGATGAGAACAGAGGCTCTGAGATGTGGCAGCTGCCCGGGACAGAGCCAGGACTGAAGCCAGGCTGCCTGGACTTTTAAGGCCCCCACTCTACTGCCTCTGTCCCTCTGGGGCCGGCACTCTGGGAACACTTTGCTCATGGTGGGGAGTGGGTGAGGGGCAGGGGCAGGTTGGAAGGTGTGTGTGACATCACTAGTCCCTGGACTCCAGAGAAAGGAATGGTTTCATCTTCCAGGAGGGGGGCACAGGATGGGGAGTGGGGAGGGGAAGCGTCCGAGCAGCGTCTGCCCGGTGGTCCCCAGCCTGGTCGGCTTCCTCTTGGGCCAGTGGGGTAACTCCACCTGCGATTGCTGGGCTGGGGGAACTGGAGGTCCAGCCTTAGCAAAGGATTCGTGAGATGCATTTGCCAAGCCCTCCCCGTCTCCTGAGACAGAACCGTGTCCACGGGACGATTCCCTGTGCCCATCGCTTTTATACGGAGGTATAGAAACAAGACTGGAAGGAACTATGGCAAGGTGTTAATAATCATTCTCTCCGGGTGGTGGGAATAGGGTTGATTTGCTTTTCTTCACACTTTTCAGTATTTTCTGAATTATCTACATTAGACAAGAATTAATGTTATAATTGGGAGAACAACGTGCTCTAATAAAAGAAATGCAGATACAAATTCTTGTTCTAGTCCCAGTGAAGAATGCTCTGCTAATGGCCGCTTTAGAGCATCTCCTTGAGTCCCAAGCTTACTGGTTTTGGAGTCAGCAAGTCCAGGATTCAAATCCCAGCTCTGCTCCTTTCCGTCTGTGCTAACCCAGGTGAGCCTCTTAACCTCTCTGGTCCCAGTTCTCTCAACTGAAAAATGGAGATGGAACAAGCTGCCTCCTAGGGTTGTTTGAATGACTCAATTAGATGATGTTTAGGAAACTACACGGCCAGGGAGCTGCGATCAGGCAGCTCCCACTCAGTGGTGGCTTTTGTCACAGGCCACATCACAACATGGGCTCCTTCCCCAGAGATCCACTGGGGACCCTTTGAAGGTGGACATTAGCTGTCATCCCCACCCTATAGATGAGAATACAGAGGTTCAGAGGAGTGCGAGACTTGACCAAGGTCACACAGCCCAGAAGGAATCTCTGAAACAGGCTCAGAGAGAGGAAGTGATCAGCTGGAGGCCACACAGCCTAAACCTAATGCCTGATAAGACAACACACTACCAAAAAGCCAACCTGCCCTTCTTCGGGTGTTTGCTATTTGCGAGGCTCCCTGCTAACCGTTTTGAACAGCATCAGCAGCAACAACAAAGACTCTCCCATGTATTGAGCACTTCCTCAGTGACAGGCAGCGCATCACTTCGCCAATCATCTCAGTTAATTCTCCAAATAACCCCATGACTTGGGTCTCTCCAGCCCATTTTACAGACGAGGCAACTGAGGCTCGGGGACGGAGGCCGTTACCCGAGCTCCGCAGCAGGCCTGGCCCCCGGGCCGCCCGGCTCCCGGGGAGGCCGCGGGAGGGCCAGGTGGCGCGCAAGGAGTTAAGCGGGAGGCAGCGCTGTGGCTCCGCGCGAGGAGCGCGCCGGGCAGAAGCGCGCTGCTGGCGGCGGCGGCGGCGGTGGCGGTGGCAGCGGCGCGGGAGCTGGGGCTGGAGACGTGAAGTCCGGGGCGGCGGGCGAGCCAGCGAGGGACGCAGCGAGCGAGCGACAAGCGAGGTGGCCGGAGGCCCGCGCCCCCGCCGCAGCCCGCGCCCCGCGCCCCGCGCGCCCGGAGCCGGGCATCCCCGGGGCGGGGACTCTGCGCGGGGGCCTCGCCGCGGCACGGGGCCCCCGCAGCGCCGCCCGCCCGCCGGTCCGCCCGAGCGCCAGGCTCGCGGGAGCCCGGCTTCCACTTCCTCTCGCCTCCGCCTGCCTCCCCGGCTCGCCGGCTGGCGTCGCCACCGCCTCCTCCTCGTCCCCGGCCACCGCTGTCGCCGCTGCTGCAATCCAGGACGCGCACTCTTCCACTTTCCCGCTGGAGGCGCGGAGGATGCCCCTGGCACCACCAGCCCCGGAGAAATAGCCCCGGCCCGGCTGGAGGAGCCTCGGTGGCGAGAAAAGAAATCCAGACTCCTCTTTCCTTGATGCCACTGCAGCAGCTGGCAGCTGGGAAGGCGCCCACGGAGCGGGCGCGCCAAGCGGGACGCGGGAGTCGCAGGGAGAGACCCCAGGCGCCTGCTGGGCTCCGCGGGCAGAGTTCGCAAGCGGCTGAGACACTCCCCCATCCCCTCAGGTAAGGGCTGAGGGGCCTGCACCTGGTGAGAGGGCTCCGCAAGGCAGCGGGGCGCTGGGCGGCTGCGAAACGGTTCGGGGCCCCTCGGCGGCTTCTCTGCAGGCTGCGGCTTCAGCGCCCAGAGCCAGGCAAGTAGACGACCCCGAGTGGGGACAGCCCAGCTCTGGGTAAATGACAAACTTTCTCTCCTCTGGCGGAGGGGGGAACATTCCGGCTCATCCAGGCGTCCTTCCTCAGGCATCCCGCTCAGGGTCTTGTCAGGCTGAGCTGGGCCGGGAAGGCAGAGAGCCCGTTTAATTTGATTCGTGAAGCCCCCGCTTCTTGGCCAGTTCAGAGTTCGAAGGGAGAAGGTCCTATTTTCAAGTTGACTTTACAAGGTGTTTGTGGGGGTGATACTGTGTGAACGAGGTTCCCCATCACCTGGAGCCAGCACCCAGGGCTGCCCGGGCCGTGGGCTTTGTGTGCAGGGCTTTGCAGGCTTGCTCATGTCCCTTCTGGCCTGTGTGTGTGTGTGTGTGTGTGTGTGTGTGTGTAAGGACGGGGGAGAGAACTCAACCAGATCGCCTCCATCCCAGCCTTTCCAGCAGCCCCAAGTGTCCTCATGGGAGCCGCTCACCTCCCCGGCAGAGACTCAGGAGACATGGGGATCACCTCCAGTTCCTGGCAGCTCCTTAGATGAGCACACGATTTGGGGGAAGTTTCCTGGCTGCTCCATGAGACCATTCAGAGAGGAGCCTGGGAAGGGACAAACCGTGCAGAAAAGGGGCTGGATGGGCCTCAGGATTGGGGCTCCCAGCATCCTCGTGCCCAGCTCTGAGGATGTGGGGGCCCCCTCACTCCAGGCCCCTAGGGGCTCTGCCGAGCCCAGCACACAGCTCATGAGCGTGGCCCGATTATTTTTCCTCCTAATGAAAAGCATGCTGCAAAGAGGCCACTTGGTCCCGGAGGATCATTTTGGACCCACCTCTGTGGTCACAGCCCCCTAGATGGCATCCTGTTTCTTTGCTGGGCTCCAGCCTGGGGCTGGCTCATCTCAATGGACTGGTTGGTCAGTGAGGCAGGCAGTGGAGGGGCTTCTGGCATGACCCCAAGGTGGCCTGTAACACCTGCTTGGGCCGGGTGTCCCTCTGGGGACAGCATTGCTGTGAGGTTCTTAGCACGTGGAAGCACAAGGTGGGAGCCTGAGGACTTCCTGCCCTTTCTTGGGACCTTGACCTGGAGCCAGGTTATGAGCTGCTTCCCCAGGCTGTGGAGACCCGAGGAGTCCTCCAGGATGTTAGCGGCCAGTGCTTGACATCCTAGGGAAACCGCATCTCTGGGTCAGGAGGGTGCCCTTCAAGTCTGCCCTCAATTTGCTGTGTGACTTTGGGCAAATCACTAGACCTCTCTAGGCCCAGTAGCTGTTTCTGTAAAATGAAGAGATTTCATGTATCCTCAGAGGCCCCGGTTCAGACACTCTAAGGCTCTGATGAGATTTTCAAATTCCCAGGAGGTGATGTAATTTACTGTTCAAGAGACCTAAGACTCAGAGGCATCTGAATATGACCAGTCACTTCACCCTGCACTCCTCGGTCCCCCCACTGTAAGATGGGGAGTTCATGGTTCCCACTTCAGAAGGGTGTTGGGGACTAGCGGAGATGGGGCACGGAAAGCGCTCAGTGTATCTAGTCAAGACTGGACCTCCACAGACCCAGCAGCAGGGCTGTCTGTTTGGGGACCTTGTGTGTGGGCATCCGGGTGCTGTGTTCCCCAGGGAGGCTGGCCCTGTCCCGCCTGAGCGCCAGGAGATCTTTGACTGGGGGGCAGGGCCTTGATGGCTCAATCCCCTGACACCTGCAGCCCCCGCTCCTCGCTGCTTCCTCATGAAAGCCCTGCTGGACCAGCAGCTCCCAGTGGGGAGCCCAGGGCCATGTGGGAGGCCTGGATGCATCCAGCTGCTGTGTCGCCATGACAACGGGAGGCGGAGGTGAGCCATCTTCACGGCTTCAACTTTGCAGCTGTGTAGGGACCCAGGCTGTCTGGGTGTTGGGCGCTCTGTTGAGGCCGTCCGTACAGGAGAGGCCGCTGATCCTTGCGGGAACTGCCATGCTGGGGAAAGTGTCTTGCATGTGTGTGGGGAGGGAGGTGGTAGATTGCTCAGTCTTATTTCTTTCTGAGTGGTTCAAGGCTTGGGACATCTATGTCCCTTCCCAAACTAGGGTTCCCTGGGTCCATGCTGAAACCTCGATGCAGAAGGCGGCCCTCACTTTGGCTGACGTGGAGCAAGGTCGTGGGCACGCAGGAGGGCCTGGGGCAGGAGCAATTCCACCAGGTCTGTGGGCTCAGTCTGTGGGCTTGACTTCAGGACTCCGAAAGGGAGCAATCTACCTTCCTGGTGGAGTGGGGTGTGTGTGTCTGTGCACATGCTTGTGTATGAATGCGTGCAGCTGTATACATTCTCGTGCATGTCTGTGCACATGTGCTCATGGGAGTAGGACTTACGTGGAAACCTACAGGGTGTGTGCATACAGGTTAGAATAGTGTCAATATGGGTGTGCACTTGTGAGATTGCGTGTCTGTGGATTTGTGAGCATGTGTGTGTGCGTATCTGCAAGAGAAGGTGTGCGTGTGTGTCAGTGTGAGTGTGGGTCGTTGTATGTGCTTGTGAGTGTTAAGCAGTTGTGTGCGTGTGAGTTGGAGGTGTGCCTGTGACCAACAGGTGCTTGGCTGCATGGACACACGCGTGTGCTGGGAGGGTCTGTGCAGTAACACCTGTGTTCGAGAAGCCCATGCATGCTTTGGGAGGTGTATGTGCTGTTTGCACGTCTTTGTGGCCGTTTGTGAGTGCCTGCATGTGTGTAAGTATACACGTGTGTGTGCTCACAGACCGTGAGCTTGTGGTCTATGCTTACAGGTATCTATCTACATGGTTTTCAGTGTACTCATGTGTGTGTCTCTATGCGCATGTGTGTGTACAGCATCGCACACTTGCTTTCTCTGTGTGTGTGTATGTGTGTGCACCTGTCTGTTGTGGTGTAACCTCTGTGAGTGTCTGTGTCTATGTGTGAGTTTCTGAGCATGTGTGTCTGTGACAAGAGGGTGCATTGGATTGCGTCTCTGTGTATATGTGTGTTGCTGTGGGTGTGTATCTGTGTGTATTGCCGGGTAAACTGTGCATCTCTGTGTGTTCACGTTTCTGAGGGTGTGTGCCTGTGTGTAGCATTGCACGCTTGATTGTATCTCTCTGTGTATTTGTGTGTTTGCGAGTGTTGGTATCTGCTGTGCTGCCTGCAGTGTCCATTTGAACGTGTCTCAGTGTGCGTGTGAATGTCTCTGTGTGTTTCTGGAGCTTAAAGTGTAACATGTGCACGTCTCCTGTGGAGGAATAAGTTTCTGAATGTGTGTCCCTGGGGTGTTGTGTTGCATCTCCTTGCACGTCTCTGGGTGTACAAGGTGTGTGTCTGAGTGTGTTGGCTTGTCTGTAGGGCCGTGTAACTTTGGTGTGTATCTCGTGGATAGCACGTGTGTGTTTCTGAGCGTGTGCATCTCTGCCAGTGTGTCTGAGTGTCCATGGGGATGTGGAGGGGTGTGTGTGGCTGTAAACACAGCTGATATCTTCCAAGCAAAAGATGTCTCTGAACCTTTAAACTCCTCTCCTGCCTGCTCTTCAGGGCTGGACTGTGCTCGTGCTGTGCATCTTCCACGTGGTGGCCCAGCGATCCGGGCCAGCTCTGAGCAGGGTGTCGGGGTGGTGCATGTTCGTCTTCCCAAGTGCCTTTGCCCGAAAGCCCGTGTTCGCCTCCACCCCAGGCTCCCTTGGCCCCGCAACAGCCTGCGTCTCTCTCACCAGAAGCCTGCGCTCAGGACAGTTGCTGAACAAACTCACAGATGTTAAGAGCGCAGGTATAATTTTAGGCAGAAGGTCTGAAAATAGGCAGCCTAGGATGCGCCGAACATCTCGACAGCAGTGTTTCTAATTAGGAGCGACTTGTTTTCCTTAAATAAACAAATCAAGTGAGGAAAGAAATTGCCCAAGATTAATGGCTCCCCGGAGCAGGTCCAGATGTCGGGAGCTGGGAACTGGGTCTCCCCCGACTGTGAATGTTACCGCTCAGGGGCTCTTCCAGATTTCATGAGACCCGGGCTGAGGGTGAGGAGGGCCGGGACGGGGCACCTTTCTGAGGCCTGGCTGGCCTTTGGTTATCAGGGTGGAGGCATCTCTAGCCCCAGTTCCTCCCTCCTCCCCATCTCCACACCTGAGCCGCTCAACTTTGCTGCTCTGCCCACTCAGGGGGCAGGCGGGGTTTATGCCCCTGCTCCTTCACTTTGCGTGTGGCTAGCTTTGGCCATCAGGGTGAGGTGGAAGTGACAGTGTGTCCATTCCAAGCCGAGGCCTTAGGGAGCCTGGCATGTTTCTGCCATGGCTGCGAGACGAGCACCCCTGGGGTAGCCGCTCTCCCTCAGCCTGGACCCAGAACGAGCATATATCAAGCCTCCCTGAGCCCACACCTCAGAGAAGAGGCTCGCTCAGCCAAGCTCCAGCTGGTCAGAAACAGGTTAGCTGAGTAAATGCTCCTCATTGCAATTCCTGGGGTTTTGTGGCTGTTTGTTAGGCAACAATATTGTGATTACAGCTCACGGACGCAGTTCCCAGCAGTCTGTATTTCCTTCTCTTGTTTGATCCCTGGTTCTCATTCAGACATACGTAATGAGCACCTGTACTTCTCATCGTCGCTATCCCATTCCTACCTTGCTTTTTGCTCATCCCAGCATCAACAGTAATCATCATCATCATCATCAATAACATTTACAGAGTGCTTACCAGATACCACACACATGCCAAGGGCTTTATATGTATCATTTATTACTCACAACAACCCTGGGAGGTAGTTTCTGTTTCCACCTTCTGTTATGATCTGTGAGGCTCAGAGAGGTGAATTGGCTTGCCCAGGTCACACAGCCCGGAAGAGCATACCTGGGATTTACACCCAGATCAACTGATGTCAGAGACCATATTTTTG